TAAGCAGACTGACAAAAATGGAAAATATTAAATGAGTCGCTGGTAATATTAAATGGCGATTAATTATGGTATTGATATCACACGAACAAAAGAACGAAATAGCATAAACAAGGGGACAATAAAAATAAAGTAAAAACACAACAAGCCATAAATATGTACATTACAAAAATAATTGGTATTAAATTACATCCATAGATGGCGCTTATCGATAAAACTACAATTATAGAACACTTATATGGTGTTCACTGACCAAAAAACATTTTATTTATATAAAAGTATAAATTAAGAATTGTAACTATGTATGATTTTAAAATTATGTATCTAACGGAATATCTCATTCTATGCAAACGATTCAAATGCAACAGTTCTAGTTAGTTATAAAAAGAAATAATTTTCATTGGTCCTAAAAAATTAGCTAATTAATTTCATTTAAAATGTCTGCATTGTCTTTTTGAATTTCTGACTTGTATAAATTGTACATAAATCACAAATAGCACCGATCCTAATATATACTCAACTAAATCGCAATCCTGCTTTATAATTTTGATCAAAGCAACTGCTCTGAACTTTGGCAACTTTTTATGTTCCGATATATTATTCCACCATATTATTACTATTTTATAAATTCTTATTCGACATACCATTCATATGGGTCCACAATTCACTATGATATACCAGTAGATAAACACTTACCAGTCTAGTATATTCATATTTTAAGTTGTTTAGTAAAATTTTTCTTGCTTAAATAAAGTAGCTTCATTTAATTGAAACTTTTACATGTAGCATTTGTTCTGACATATTTATCACTCATATTAATTAAGTGCTTAACCCAATCTTGAGCTTTTAGGCTTAAAATTTTAGTTTAAATCTTCTGAAATTACTATTTAAATGGGAATAAGCCACAATTAAAGGTTAAAGTACGTTTATTGACGTTTCAATTTCCACTTCGGAAATCGTTCTCAAAATACAAACAGTAAATTAAACAAAAATTTGTTTAATTTACTAATGTTTGTATAAAAACTAGCTTTAGAACAATATTAAATCTTCTGGTTATTACATATTCTTTATTAATTTCACTTTACACTATTGATCATTGAGGTTTCCTTGTATCGTACATCTGATCGATGTCTCCAGTGATTTTTCTCGATATTTTTTGTCTTATCATACTATAGGAAGATTTTTATTGAACATAATCGAGTTGATCAACCTGTGATATACTAATATAATGATTTTGAATTTTTTTTTCTATTTTATTCAACGTCTAATGGCTCTTTCTTTGTTGTCATTCAACTTGTCAAATTACCATACCATATATGACGACGTGGACATGTAAAATTCCAAATATCACACTGATATTAATCGGAAAATTAATAAATATTATATTTAGCTTTTAATATAAATTAATAAAATAGATATATTATAGAATTAGGAAATCATTATTCGTTGCAATATACAAAAATATTCTGTTGCAATATACAAAAATATTCTGATAGCCGGATTTTTAATCTCAAATTTATATGTTAATATTTCTTTAATTTACTAGAAAAAGAAATGCAAACATCTTACAAAAAATATCCAAAACAATATATATATATATATATATATATATATATATATTAGTCAAAACTAAGATTTGACCAAAAACCTCGATCTGACTGCATTACTTAGCTACATCGTATTTAATCTAATAATTTAAAATTATTTTTATCTTTGACTTTCATATCATCTAATATTTTTTCATCATATTCTCCGGGAGATCTGAATATCTAAGAATGAAATGAAAATTTACGTGACAAATGAACATGTACATGAAAATTGTTGGCTCATTTTTCCTCAATTTTAAGCAAACTTTAAGCTTTGAGCACTATTTGTGGTGATTTTTACTAATAATTAATCTTTCGGTTTCCGTCAATATTTACCTGCGACTACACGTGACCAACAACTTAAACCGAAAAATCAGCGGAATTTTCAGTCACAGATTGTAGTGATTCGCACTTAATTTGAACTGAAGTCGGCTGCATTCGGTTGTCACTAATCCGGTACAAATAATGTGTGAAGTGTGTCAGTGCTCCTTTCTGTTAGGCATAGACATGTACTCATACCCTGTCAAAAATATAAACCAATAAGAAAGTTGCCATGAATTTATACTGGAACCAGCGTGCTCAAGTCAAGGTCGACGACCAGCTGACCGACCAAGTGAAGATCATGCGAGGAGTAAAGCAAGGCTGTGTGTTCTCACCGAATCTTTTCAATATATACTCTGAGGAAATTTTTACTGAAGCTCTCACAAACCTGAGATGGGAATCCGAGTGAACGGTGAATACATCAATAATATCCGCTTTGCCGATGACACTGTGTTAGCAACCAGCCTAAATGAAATACAAGATTTACTAGAGCGAGTCAGAACTGTGAGCGTAACATACGGACTAGACCTTAATATTAAGAGAACTAAATTCATGGTTGTCAGCCGTGCAAACTTAGATCCCGGGTTAATGGCAAGTAGCGAAGAGATCCAGAGAGTCGACAGATTCACTTCCCTCGGAACAAGATGCGGATAATGAGGTGCTACATTCTTCCAGTGTTACTATATGGAGTTGAAGCCTGAACACTGACGCAAGCCACAGAAAAGCGGATTGAAGCCTTCGAGATGTGGATCTACAGGAGAATACTTAATATCGTATATGAACCATGTCATCCACATTGAGGTCCTACAGCGCATGACAATAGAAAAAGAAGTGCTTAGTTTAGTGAAACAACGTAACTTTGAGTACCTCGGCCACGTGATGCGAAACGAAGAAAAATAACGAATTTTTCAATTGGTTATGCAGGGTAAAGTATTTGGCAAGAGAGGACCGGGACGCCGTTGTATCTCGTGGTTGAAAAACCTCCGACAATGATTTATGATGATCTCCGTGGAGCTGTTTCGCAGAGCAGTCAACAAAACTATGATAGCCTTGATGATCGCCAACATCCGGACTGGATAAGGCACTGAAGAAGAAGAAGAAGAAGAAGAAAGTTGCTTGTCTGATATTAGGAAAATATGATACCAAAATATATTATTATAGTTATGTACTATTATGTGATTAAAAATACACTTTAAATTATTATATTAATTGTCTGTAGCTAAGTAATGGTACGTTTATAAGTGTTTTGGGTGAAATCTTACATTTTACACTATATATATATATATATATATATATATATATATATATATATATATATATATATATATATATATATCAACTTATAGTAGATATAGGGCATATACAACTTACAAAATATTAAATATTAACGTGAGATGTGGACACAAGAAGATGTGGATCAAAAGTAAATATAGATAAATAAATTAAATAAATACAAATACCACGAAAGTAAATTCATGATTAGAAAGTACAGAGTAAACTGTAAATAAAACTATTGGTATTCATTTGACTAGAATTTTGTGAGCTATGTGATAGTCTAAATAAATTTGCATTAGAAATTGTATCCTAGAAAATGTTATTCTTAATAAAAAACATTTAAACTACTAAATCGTGAACCAAACTATTCCCTAAGAAAGATTTTAAGTAAAACCACTCATCATCATTACTGGCTCGACAACCCTTTTTGAGTCTGGTCTGTTCCAGGATTCTTCTCCATTCTGATCTGTTTCGTGTTTTTTTTTTTCCAATTTTTATTTTTAAGGTTGTTAATTCATTTTCTTATGTTCTATGTATCAGTCGTCCTATTTTAATGAATGTTATAATATCCGGATCTTGGTCTATTTTGTGTAGTTCAAAGATGTATGTTCTTAGCCAAATTCCATTTTCTTTTATGCTTCTGTTTTTCTTTCAAAGGGGCTAATAATCTTTCCTCACTTTTAGAGAATGTCCAGGTTTCTGAACCATATGTGAGTACCGGTCTTATTAAGGTTTTGTATATTTGGCATTTTGTATTTCTTGCGACGTTATCTGATCTTAGTAACATTTATTGGCAATGAATATTCGTCTCTCCACATCTTCTGCAACGTGGTTATCAGACGTAAGTAGGGATCCTAATTATGTAAAGTTTTTTACCTTCTCAATGTTGTATTCTCCTATTGTTAGATTTTGTAGCTGCCTTATTTTTGCGTTTTCACTTTAATGCATATATTTTGTGTTGGCCTGATTGATTTTAACTTGTTTAACTGTACAACTCGCTCTATTTGATTGAATGCTTCTATCATTTCTCTTCTTGACCTTGGGATTATGTCAACATCATCTAAAAACTCAATCTTTTTTTTCGAGCACGATGTTGAACAAGATGCATCATAGAACGGCTCCCTGGCGTAATCCCTTTTTCACATCGATTGTTTCCGTTAATTCGTTTTGAGTCCAGATTTGAAGTAAACCCCATATATAAGTCAATTTTTGGAGGTTTTCGTTAAATAATGAAATCAATAAAATATACTGATGACCAAAAAGTTTATTTGTATTAAAATGTTTGGTATAAAGATGCTAAAACTCTTTTGTATCAGCAAAAATATTTATATATTCCATTAATTCCCGGATATAGCAGTGAAATTTTCTGTAAAACAATAAAATGTTTAGTGTAATTATTTCAATTTAAGGATTTAGAAACCTACTTCTTGTATTTTCTATAATTGAGAAAACACACCATCAATAAATTACATCTAACTTTCCCTTATCAGGCTTTTTTGTCAGGTACAGCAAACGATACTTTTGGTGAGATGTGCGGAAAGGCGTATTTTCACATTGAATTATACGACTCCGACCGGCGAAATTATCGAAAGCTCGGCATTACTACAGTGGTAATCTTCGAGGTGTTAATTATTTATAAGTTCTAGTGTTTCCTCCTATTCTGTTAAAATGGGTCATTTTAAAACTAGCGTCGTTAAATTTCACCATAACTGACGTTTTTTTTTCTTTTTGGAAGCTATCTTCTACAAGCTGTATCTGATTTATGAAAAACTTGCAGTTCTTGGAGTTTGAATGTGATGGTACTTATATATGTGTCATCAAGTTTCATCTTCGTTTCATTGTTGTATTTATGGATATATTTATGCTTGATATTTTTTACTAAAAATAACGAGTTTCTAAGATTTATGTTAACTTGTAACACCTTTAAACGAAAAATAGAGTACTGTCGCATAATATACACAAAAAATCATAAACTGATATGTTTTAGTTTTTTTCTTTTGATCACCAACTACAACTGTACTTAAATAGTCAAAATAATTCTTTTAAAGCTTAAAAACAATCCTTAAATATATTTACATATCATGCTAGGTAAACAAAACATAAAATATATTACATTTTACTTCCAACAAATACAATATAGATTTTTTTCTTTTTTAATTGGTAATTTTATAGCCTAGACAAGATTTCAAATAATCGAATAGCCTTCTCAATAAATAGCCTTTGTAAGATTTTTCGTTAGATGAAGATAAAGTGCATTTGACGGTAAAAGTATAAGACTGTTCATTCGTCTTATGAATATTGCGTATTTTTATTGGGAAGTAGGCACACCGACAAGAAAGTTAAGATTCAAAAGTAATAATGTATTTATAATTAATTAATTTTTTTTAATCAATTCGAGAGGCGCCGATAACCTATCGTAGAAATAATCTAAATCATCAAGCATTGACATTAAAACGGTGTTCGACCTGTATTTCTTAATTCTGACATTATAGCCTGTCATTTGTTTCTACCATAGGCCGGAGTATGTCTTCATAGGTCACGTCGTTGTTTGTCGTTTTCAAAATTGAGAAATGTTTGGATATATGTGGGAAATTTAAGAAATGAATTCATCATCATCATTTCGGCTTTACAACCCTGCGTGGGTCTTAGCCTCCTCAAGAATTTCTCTCCAGTCGGTCCTATCATCGCTTTTCTCCGCCAAGCATGTATTCCCATTTTTCTCACATCGATGTTATCAAGGAACCTTGTTCTGGGTCTTCCTCTTCTACTCTGGCAAATGGGTCTATCAAGCAGCGTTTTTCTAGCTAGGTCATTTGGTTCCACCCGCAATACACGCAATATCCATCTTCAGACGTCATATCTTAATATATGTTACGATATCTGGTTCCTGGTAACTTGACACATACTTTCTTTAAGTTTTATAAAACTAGTTTTGGATATGGTCTTAACATGTTACAATTACTTTCTGTGCACAATTTCTTACGAATGTGTTATTTCTTGTTGATTGACATTGCGTTTAATAAATAATTTGAAAAAAAAAACTAACACATAAAATATGTCTAAAAACGAAATTTGTCATATGCGAGTATTTGTAAAGATTCTATACCAGCTATTCATTTTAAACACAAAAATGTTTAAGGGAATGGGGCCTTTCACTTCCGGGCAAAAAATTACTAACAAAAACTTAAAATAAGTTTTCTAAAAAGACCAAATTATCAAGTAAAACTATTTAATTATTGCTTTAACACTTTGATCTCCAACTAACTTAAATTTTTTTCTAAAAATAGGCGATTTTTGAAAAATCTCGCCCAGTCTAACTAGGTAATATTTCAAATTTTTCTACTTATTACTATCAATTACCTGTTCTGATTGTTTTCTATGTCTCTTCTGTGGCCTACCCAATCATCTGTAACTCTATTTCTGTTTGACTGCTTCTTTTTTGTTCTCAGTAGTCGTGGTTTGAAGTGAGCAACTTTTTCTTCGGGTTCGTTTTTATTGATATCGTAGCGGTACAGACGAATCTTTTTCGACTGCTCTTCCGTATCGCTACTGGAACTGTGGCGCTTTTTTAAAGTTATTCCTGCTAGATTCAGCAAAGTTTCAGCACCTTCTTTGATTCTTCGATCTTCGTCGTCCTCGAAGTCCAGTTTTCGACTGGTAAAATTTTTTGGTATCCTATTAAATTAAAATTTAATTATAAATATCTCCAGAATAAGCAATATTACAATTATATTGGAAAAAAACATCATTGTATACAGAATTCACTCAAACCCAAAGAAAAATTGCTTAAATCTTGATATATGTAGTGCGCGGATATTAATAAATGAGGCTTCATTGCGAGGACAAATTTCGAAAACACCATCTGTGACAATTAATTTAACGCAAGTCGTAAATGAAAAACGTAATTATAAATGATTGAAAAAATTAAACAAAATAAATTAAATTAAACTAAACAAAATTAAATATAGCATTAACTAGAATTAAAAAATAAATAAATAAAATTAATTCAAACTATATAAAACTAAGTAAAATTAAACAAAATTAAATAAAATGAAATAAAATAACATTAAATGTAATAATAATCAAAATGAAGTTATTAAACATAAATACAAGTTAATACTGAAAATGTAAATGATAAATAAACTTTACCTAATATTTAATAAGTTTTAAAAATTACTAAAATCATTACAACAAAATTTTTGAAGGAAAAAATTAAGATTTTTTAAATTTTAAAGAACTTAAATGTGTGGTATTATAAAAAAAATATTAACAATTCGCACACGTAAAATTCCACGCAACCCACGTATAGTCATAACGCGCTATAAGTATTCACTTCTGTTGGCACTTCCAAAGTGTCAACCGTCGTTTTTATTTTTTAAAGTTAATGGGTGACTTTAGATGGCAATTAATTGTATCTGCCGTCGCATGCGACGGGCAAAATCACTAGTAATATTATAATTTACAGCTATATGTACAGGTACATATATATTTTAGTGAGCGTTTTTTGTTTTTGTTTTTGTTAAGGAATTAGACAAATAATACTAAATGCTAATATTAACTACTAATAAAGCTTTGAGATTTGTGGTAAAACACATGGACTTCCCGAAGCACATGGTCGACCATGTAATAAAAATTGCAACTGCTATGCAAAACTCAACGGCTACCTGAAAATACATACATATAGGCATTCAAAAAGCATCTAGACTCAGCTACATCCGAGCCACAATCTGAAGCCAACAACTACTATGACTGCAGACTAACCCGAGATCTGGTGTTCTGCGGGTGGTGGCATTTGTTCCCCAAGTTTATTTGAGTGTTTTAGAGAGTTTAATCCTTTATTTAGAGTGTATATTTTGCACTTATTTCGAGTGTTTTCTAGGTGTTTTTTTGAAGACAGTATTCTATCCATTACAGCTTAATATAAAAAGGCCATGAAAACCCTAACGGTGTGCAGAAATTTTGGACTTCTATTGTAGCCATTGACTATACTGAGGTGTCCAATGGCTACCATGGAAGTAATTCTTAATCTCCCACCTCTAAACATCCTAGCGGAGAGCATGAAAACGAAGCCATATATGGGATGACATTAGACACAATTCTTGTGTTCTAAAATAGCAGAAGGAATTTCCGGGCCTAGATCTAATCACTCAGAAAGCTTGGACAAAATGCCAAGTAGACACTCACCGTATTGGAAGATGTGACCAATAAAACTTCAACAAAAAATATCGGAGACAAGAGATTGTCACGTCCGAGAGTAACGCAACCATTAAAGCGCTTAAATCACATGTGATCAGCTTCAAAATAGTATTCGAATTCTTAGGGAAATTAAATGAACTAAGCTAGGACAATTTATTTAACCTCGTATTGATTTCCGAAATCAATTTGGTGTGGAGGTAAAAGAAATGGACGAAGAATTGGCCAAAAGAGATTTCAATGATAAACAAATCACAAAAGGTCAAAATGTGACGAACCATGTGCTAAAGCCTTGATTTATAATAAATATTGTGGCTATGAGCACACAAAAACAAAATCGAACGAAATCAGACTATAATATAGAGACTAGAGACTTATCTTGGGAGTGGGCAAGATTTCATGAGAGGACTCAAACTAGTCTGGCCTAGGATGAGTTATTCTCAGTAGATTATAGGAATATATGCGAGCTATAAATAAGTTATACAATTAAAAAAAAAACAAAATGTATATAAAATTAAAATTAGCAAACAAAATTAATTAAAAGAAAAAATAGTTTTATACAAGAGGAAAAAAAACATAAAATATATAAAAAAATTAACCTAGAAAAATTCTTATATGATTTAGGAACAAAAAAAACTAATTAAACAGTAACTATTAATATAAAAGTATGATGACAGGGAGATATTAAATTTTCTATCGAATCCAGATGGAACAATCTTTTCCTGCTGTTGTTGATCAAAAGGTAGGCTCATGGGTATAAAGAAACAAAATTTGTTACCTTGGATCTTGAACAGTAATCATCTCAACGAACATCCAACAAACAACGTTTTATAACAGGATCGCTTGGCAAGTTCAGCGGCAAATATTTTCGTGAATAAATCACGGATGACTAGAACATATCGAATTCTATATGTGTGTGTGAGGTCGCACCGGGAAACAATCAAACTGCCACAACTTGTGAACAACGAGCAATCACATAATAAATCTTTTAAGGAATAACCCAAATAATTTTGGTGCGGAAAATGATTTCTTTATTTTTCAATAATCTGCACGGATTACCAAGAAATTATATCAACAATGAGCTTTCTACATACAGTACGTTAAGTTTTAAATTAGATATACACCCTATAAATGGCAACATTGCGCGTCGTCGATTTTTCACGAACGTGCTTCGTTGACCCTTCGCCAATAATTTGTCATTAAGGTTGATCTTCACCCTCGATTAATTTGTTTCTGATCCTAGAGATGGCTCTACTGCGGCATGGTGCTCTGGTAATTTTTTTAACTTAATTGTAGATTTCTACATGATGACTCTGTAATATTTTTAAACCCTAACATAAATTGCAGTTTTCTATCATGATATCCATTGGCTGAGTTGCCCAGTTCTGAAGACAGTAATTATATCAAATACACTATAACTTACTAGTAGACCAACTAAGTAAAGATATCTTTAACAACATCTTTATGTATAATAATTTACTGCTCTGCTGTGTCAGTCGGAATATATACCAAATAAACATTCATTATCTAAACAATTTTATCGACAAAGAACCTATTATACTTGTCTTTTATATTCTCCTTGTTCTGGCTTTATTGGTATGTTTCTTATAATTTTTCTTTTAATAATTCTTACTTTTTCTTTATCTTTTTCGTAAGACACATTACTTCCTCTCCGTATGCTATCATCGGCCAAATTGCTGTTTTATATATTTTTGTCTTTGTTCTTTTTTTTTTGTTGTTTTTTTTTTATTTTTAAGTAGTGGGTGATATTTTCAAAACACCTCGTTCTTTTCTCGCCTTGTGTGCGTGGTAGTCATACGTTGGATTTATGATTTGGAGTGATTGATGCGTATTTAGTTATCACGGCTCTATTTGGTCTATTTAGTTCTTCAGTTTCCGTATTCGACGATTTTATAACGCCAAATGTGAAAAAGGTATTGAGTGTGTTTATTGCTTTTACTATGTGCTTGGAATTAAATTTGCTTTTGAGTAGGTATTATCCAGATTTAGCCGTATGGCTCACTCTCCCTCTAATTGGAAAATTCACTCATCCCAGATACCTACGGTATCAAAAGCATTGAGCTCTGGTGTGACTGTTTCCGTATTATTGAGCCCTAGGTGACTTGGTATGCTGGAGTATCTCCCAACAATTTTCGTACACATCTGGACGTCGCGAGTACAACTTTACGTATGGCCTTATAAAGATGTTTATTTATACCCAGCTGTTTTATGTTCGCTAGGTGATTTTTGGGAATAATACGAGTAACATGAGTATTATTATTATAATATAATAATATCGAGCCAAAGCAGAGCTTATGTGGCCCAAATTACAAAATATTTGTATGTACTAAACTAAATAATATAATATAAATCAAATCTTCTCACAAAGTAAAAATAAAAATAATTTTCAAAAGAATTAGCACGTACAAAAAGTTCTTGCAATAATAGCAAATTACAAAAATACAAATATTACAAAGTACACATAAAAGAAAAAAAATACAAACAATATAGTTAACATAAGACTAGGTACAATATTTTGTTCGTTTTCATCAAACTTGTTTTTGAAACTATTTAAACTAGTAGCTTCTATTATGGCTTCACTTAAGTCTTAAACTGTTCAATCTATCAAAAACTCGGTTAACTAAAAAGTTTTGCCATTTAAAAGGTAGCCTAGTAGCTCTTCTTTGTACTCCTTCTAATAAATTAAGGTCTCTTTGCAAATGAGGTGACCAAACTGACACTGCAAATTCTAGTTGAGGTCTGACATAACTTTTGTAGAGTTTCAAAAACAAGTCTGGAGATATTCTATGAAAAGCTTTTGTGATAAATAATAAAGCAGAGTTCGCTTTACTAACTACTTTTGCTGTTTGAGTAGACCAACTTAATGTTTGGTTGACCGTAACACTAAAATTATGAACTTCCGGTAGCGATTTCAGAGGAACTCCATCCCAAAAATATGTATATCGGAATTAGAAGATGTAAATGACAAAAAGTCAAAAAACTTAGCATGTAAAGATGCAAAATTTTAAAATTAGGTTAATTTTAATCAAAAGTGCTAAGTCACTTTTGATTAAAATCACAGGTAACTCTGTATACACCTTTGAACAATTCTGCACTATCCTTGGTCAAGTAGAGGCCGTTCTTAACTCTCGCCTTCTATTTCCATTGTTTACTGATCCATTAGACCTACAGCCTCTTACTCCAGGACACTTCTTAATAGGTGCTCCCCTGTTATCCTAACCAGAGGTAGATATTTCATGCACTCCGGATAATAGACTGAACCGCTGGCAGCAGTGTACTCGAGTTCAGCAACTCTTTTGGAAGCGTTGAACCTTCCAACTATGGATTATCTAAATCGGCTCCAAAACCGACCCAAATGGATTCACGTAGCTTCTAATATTAAAGTCGGCGATTTAGTTAGTATTGGTTAAAAACCTTGACTACCCTCCCTTACAATGGCCACTAGCTCGGGTGACCGAAGT